GAAAGGTTTTTTTCAGGGTGTGCTAATTTACGGAAAAATCGTACCCCGAAAACTTAACCATACGAGCCATCATACATATCCAAGGTTATGATATGGGCAGAAGAATGGATGAAAAGGCTACCATTACCGCCTACCTGAAATGAATTGCCCATTTTTACCCAAACCATGAATCATGTAGTAAAGTAGAAGTGTATTAAAATAGGATATTAAAGAAATCAAAAGGAAGTTAAAGGATAAAATCCTAAAAACTAATCATGGAACATTGAAAATTCTCCTATTGACAACGGAACAGCCAAATGAAGACTTAAGTTGTTGATGGCACATGTGGAGCTGGATCTCCTTACCCTCTTGAGCACCTGAGTCCACCCCTAGTTTTCGATGGGGTATGTGTTTTTTTATTTATTATGTTGTGTTTTGTGGAGTGTTGTTTGTCTATTCCCTGTTTCTTTTTTTGCCATGGCGTTGTCAGTTTGTCCTTTCACTTATGAGTTTGAATATTACTTTGCTGTCTTCCGTCTCGCGTGTATGTAACAAGAAGTTTTGCAATGGTCAAATTCTTGTGTTCTTTCAAAATCTCAAGTTGTTCCGAGGAGTTGAAATAAAGATAATTATTCTGCAGACAAAATGTCGAGTCATTCGAGTGCCGATTATGTTTTAAATGACGCAAATTACAAGTGCGACTATCCAGTTGTAATTTTACTCTCTATAGATTACTTCATAGACAAGATGCTGCATCATTCAACATGCTTTGTTAACTATTTGCTTAAAGGAAAAATTGAACTTGCTTCTAATGCTTCAAATTAGTCGGAGCATGATGTTGCTTTCCAAAAACTAAAAGAAAGTCTACACGATGATCTGTTTGTGAAAACAAAACATTTTCGTTGTCGTATAAATTGCTAGATACATATTGTTCCTTTCTTCCAGACCCTTTATGATGCGGAAATAATTGAAAAGCAGTTAACGATCGTTCGAATTTCAAATTTTTACTATCCATCTCCGTCAGAATTTAGTTTTCCTACAGCTTTACAATTTATTCTTACCTCTCTATAGATATTTTTGCCTGGTTAGTAGATGACAATTCTTTTTATATGGACATGTTTTCTGCTGCTAGTGGCCTCCGACTTGATTTGGTTGGAGAGCTCTCTCTGTGAAAAAAAAACCAAACAAACAAACTTGCCATTGGTCTCCGACCTTGACGCGGTTGGTAGGCTTTCAACCAACTGGGGATATTTTTGTATTGAACATTTCAGAAGTACAGGTATTACATACCATTCACATATTATTTTTTGCATTCCGTTACCTTTTCAAATGGACGTGCATATTGATGTCTAGCGTTAGTGTAATATATGCATACAAAGCTTCTTTTGAAGCGTAATATCTCTGTGAATCGTGTTTGTTTGTAAGTTCCATATATATCGGGCTTTAAAATCGGTTTAGTCAAGTCTGCTATATATTTCATTGTTTATGTTGTTTTATAAAAAGTGGGACACACATTTTCAATACATGTATATGCTATTGCTCTTGTTCTGATTGATATATTTACATAAAAAAAAACTTCATATACTATCGTGATCATGTTGACAATTATGCATCAAGACTATTTTATATAGTTTCAACATTCTTTTGGGTTTAAATAATCAATTTTAAATGAATTTCATCATGTTTTCACTGAATCATGGACCGGTTGTTAACTTCACAGTAATTCTTTCTCCTTTGTTCTTTATGGCATGTTAACAAAACTTGCCCAAAAATATCTTTATGTGTCGACATATATTAATGCATAGCTAAATATTAGATAGAAATATTTTTTCGTTAATTTCCAGAGATAAAGATATCTATTTTTTATTTTCTTACATATTAAAAAAAGTGGGTCTATACATCACTAATCTCTGGCAATCAGGCTTAAATATGACAAGCTGAATTTGTGCAACATTCCCAGAGCATGATTCCATAGAAATTTTTCTCAGTTAGCATATGGGACCACCGAGAAATAATCCAAAATGTCCAAAATTGCGACTTTTTTTAAATCCTATCTTTTGACCTTTGGCTACAGTTTTAAAACATTTGCCCCACCTTTGCACTCTACGACATGCCTTAATCAAAGGGTATAATATTCATCTTCAAACTAACACCAAAATTAGCCGTGAGGTATTTCGGTCCATTAAATTTGTAAAATATACCTTACTTGTCACCGTACTAATAGAATTCAGAACATGTGTAATTATCGGGTAAGCATTGTATCAATAGTTCGACGTAGAAATTTAAAAAAAAAAAGGATATGATATAGGATAAGAAAATACTGATTAAAGGATATTTAAATATCATTAATGCATAGTTTGACATTGTTTTCCTAACAGTAAATAGTACATAAATCACCACACATGGTCAATTAAACCATTCAATTGTTGATCATACAGTACGCTATCTTACTGTACGAAACATACGCCTGAATTCGATTTTTTTCAAAATAAAGCGGAAAAGTGTGTTGATGTTGTTTTATTCACATTTCTCAAATTTTGTCAAAACTTTCATTTACATTTATCCAACATGCATTTTATGTGCGTCTTCAAACAAATTATCAATATCAAGTACCGTATATGTTTTTGTTAACGTCATTCATTGTCGAATTGACTATCTAATACACCTTTTTTTTTATTGCCGGCTTACTTAGATTAATTTGTATGTTTGTTTGATTTTTTTAGTCCGTTGTGATGTATGTTTACACAGTTGTGGCTGCTGGATCCCAACAAATTTCACATTATTCTATTATGTCAGTTTGTGTTGCTCACCCAATTTTGTAAATACAACGGAATTATTACGGAAACAATTGTTATACAATTGGGAGGTTTAGCTAGCTACCATTATCTTCGGAAAATGCCTTTACCAAGTCAGGAATATGGCAGTTGTTTTTCACTTGTTCCGTTGATTGATAGCGTTTGATTTTGTCAGTTTTTATGGACTCCCCCTTTTTGAATTTGCCTTAGAGTTCAGTATTTTTGTTATACGTTTTTATGTGAAAATTTGGTTCTAAAACATAACAATTTTGATATAAACCATGTCCTGAGCTATCTCAACCATACCAATCTGAAAACTAAACCATAACAATTTTGGACAGTTTGTTTTTCTTGCGTTGTACAATGTCAACTTTCATATAGAACGGTTTACATCAGACATCATTTATGCTTTGCATTTGCTTTTAGTAAAGAACAAAGGCAATTGGTCAGGAGAATCACTTAACAAAATTATTACCCATTGCATCAAAACCCTTAAATAAACACTGCACTAATTTTTTTTCGGTATGATAGCGTGTTAGTTAGATTTTCACTCTCTGGATTGTTCTGAAGAGACGCTAAATTGGCTTTTGCTGAAGTTGACATGTATTTTTAGGGTTGATGGGAATTTTATAAGTTGGTGTAAACATTTTTGCTATTTTCTTGAAAAATAAAAAAATAGAACGAAACTATTGACAGCAAAAAACGTTCAGCAAAAGAAGATCTGCATATTAGTAAAAATCATCAAATTTGTCAATTCACTCAATGGAGATTTTTACAAATTTCTTGCGCTGTTAGGCTTAAGCTTTAGGTTGTACTTTGTAAATACAGCTGTTACACAAACCACGGCTCTTTTGGGGAGACACATAATATTCATAGATATTTTGTTTTGATTACCTACTGGTTCTTAGATATGATCTCTATGTTTCATCTCAACTTGGAAATTTTACCAGTATAGATACACATGGATAGCGGCCAAATTAAAATTTTAGAAAGTAGGAAGGGGTAGTACAGAATTTCAGTATAAGTTTAAACTATAAGAAGTTCGAGGATTATAAAAGTTGAAAAAATGTCGCAAAGCCTTATGTTATGACCTATAAAAAAAAAGTAGTTCATATGATCTTTCCATTCTATGATATAAATTTTTACGAGACTTCATAGTAAAAGTGGCACAGTTTTAACAGTTAAAGGAGATCCTATGGGAAACTACATTGTCTATATTTACAGAAATAATTGTCCAATACCTCTTTTTCAAATCTTAAATATACCAATTGTATGCATCGGTAGAAAAATAACTAGAGGAATATAACGTCTTTCTATATGGTTCATATAGTCATTGAAAAGCAATATTGGACAAAAATAGTCATACATCTACCTATAGAGCACCATACAGTCTTCAACAATAACACAGATTCTCTATATTTTCAAATTATTACTAGTATTCAAATGAATGTTAAATAAACACACTAGTGATAATTATAATAAAAGAACAGTCTTCCTGTACCCCACATGCACATAGTTAATCTGTCCAATGGCAGTAACTTTTATATATCTTTTATGTTGTTAAATTAAAAATCTGACATACAATAAAGGCGGGAGAGCTTTACGATGCAATATTTCAAATAATTTTTATATTTTCCAATATTTCCAGTAAAAATGTTGTTCGTCGCTAATTATCTAAATCGTCCGAAAAAAAATACCTAGACAAAACTTTAATATATATTTTTTATCAACAAGAAATGAACAAATCAGAGTGCTTACAATGCAATTTTCATATTTCTATTTTCCAAGGGATATAGCTCTCTTCTATACGGTTGATCGGAATTGAATTTTAAACTCGATCGTTCGTGACATTTTCGAGCTATACCTTGTTTATACATTTCTTAAGATATTAGACTACTAGGCCGGACGGACGGATTGCATGCACAGCACGGATGTCCGATATTTCTATTTCTTCTGCTCCTCATTTCAGCTGGGGACAATAATTCCTCGTGAGCAAATATAATTAAATATAAGACAATGAAAAATATATGATTTACAAATAAGTAGATTTTGTTTGTATGTACAGTCATGTTTGTTTTTATTTTCAACTCGTCTAGACTTATGGCGATTTAGAGTATGACATGTTGTGTAGACTTTTGTCACTTTATTTTTTAACCTAATTTGGCTGAAAACTTGAAATCCTTTATGTTACTGTAATATTAATCACTTTCATACCACAATATGATCGCCAGTAAGTAAATTTATTTGTCTCTTAATAAAACATGATGATAGAATGGCAAAGTATTCGTCCTTAACATATGCACTATTTGGTTCGAAATCAACTGTTTTATACGAACATTCAATCTCCTTAACATCAAGTAAGACAAATTTGAAAATATTTGATTTATTACAATGTTAATATTTGACAAAATTATTTATACAACCCGATTCTTTGAAATGTTTATAGAAGCGTGTATGACACTAACACAAGATTGGAACGTGTCAAATAATTATTTGCAGTTGACAAACTGGGCAAATAAGTCTGGTATTTAACCATTTCCGAAGACATGATTCATGGAATAAATGGTCACATGATGTAACCTTTGCTTCTTCCATTTCCTGGAAACAAATCGAACAAACGTCGTTATGTTCAGCAAGTTCATCTGTTGTCGCGTCAACCAAATTATTGGTAAACTGCATGATCTTGTTTTTATGGCTTATGACACGTTGTAATCTTACTCCTCTGGTGTATATGCTTGTATGAGAAATGCCTATTAAAAGCAACAACTCTAGCCAGCTATAAAAACCAAAGAATAATGTCCACAGAGAGTACACGACTGTGCACATTTGAATAAATATCAAAAATATCCCCATAGAAATTCGAATATAAAACACTAGGTCGTCAAATCCATCCCAGAAATTTTGACGAACTGCATCATATTTAAATACAATAAAAAGACACAGTAGACAAATTGCACATATTACATTTGTTATAAAACATGATATCGTTAAAAAGATCCCTAAATTGTACATTTTATATTGAAAAAATATGAAATATATAAATATTGCAGGTACAAAAATAAATATTAATGAATAAAAATAACACGTATGCTGGTCAACATATTCCCTTGTATTATTTCTGTGTTGGAAGTCATTGCCTCTATAATGACTAAACAGTTACCAATAAAAAACGTCAGAATCAATAGTAACCTGTTAATAACTAGCTGTCCACGATCAGAAGGGTCCATGTTATATATAACTATGTCCGCTAAAATTAAATACACATCAAAGAAATAAGACAATTCCATAAGTTTTTCTGGTTCAATATCAAGCAAACCTGTGACGGTGAAGTAGCAACACTTTAATGATCGTTTTGAGATTTCAATTATCAAAGAACCCAAAGCGTTGGCTGATAAAATTGAACAACAACACATACCGAGTGTTGATAAAAGAACCGACTTGAAATTACCAGTCCCCATCTCCGATAGGTCAGTTTTGAAGTAATTGTAAACTAATGTCAAAATAAACATTAACACAAAATATACATGAAAGGCAAAATCATTAAATCTTCTACAACCATTCCTTTCTTCTATAGTGTCCTTACGAAAATTGGCAAACATTATCCAATTATTTTCAGTTATCAACAATATAAACAACAAAACTGAAATCAAAATAACAAACGTGTTAAAAAGCCATCTAGGTTCATCCTGAAGAATCGCTCCAGCCAATAGAAAGCAACACAGATAAGCTCCCAAACGACGTGGTGTATTTATGTTACAGATATAACAAACAGCCAAACCAAGGCACATCTGTAATAGCTGGTAGAAAACATAATTTCTTGCAAATATTGCATTTTCTTCAAGCAACCAAGCACATATAATCTGTGTGAGTGTAAGCAAAACTTGGATAATTCTTCGTCGATAACGGCTATGCAGATTAAACATAATTGCTAAGCAACATAAACCTATAAAATAAAAAATCCAGATTTATTGACTTATTATGGGCTATTGTTAATGAAAAACATATTATATATGACAATGAACTTGACGTGGAAACGTAGCTCTTTACACGAATTAGTTCAAGCAGTGAGGTCATGAAATTGGAATAAAACATAAACGTACTTTGAACACTCACGATACACCTGTTTTCAAAGACTACACATGGCGCTAGACATCACTCTTATTTCAATGACAAATATGAAATTGTCCAAGCAGACATTCTCAGTCAATACCGTCATTGTGCGTATGGATCTCAGCTATTGATTGATTTGTTTGTTTTTGCTTCACGTCCAGCTGCAATATTTTCATGATGCATATACAGAACAAGAACAAATTTTGAATAAATCAATTGATATGCACTGAACAGTCGGTTGACCAAGAAGAAGGGCTGAAATGTTGGACTACCACTAAAAAAGAGGGTATGTTGGATAGAGGAAAACATTGAGTTTTGAAACAGGTAACCATAAGGATGACAGTTTCCCTACACGAGACATCAAAGAAGTGGCTATGTATATAATATATCCAGAAGAGTCAAACGGACCGCCTTGCGGTTAGTCGTTCCTCTCAGATGTAGATACTGTGACCAATTTCTATACCTCAAGTAACTACTGGTAACGCAACATACACTCAAACGACATTAACTAAAGAGAAATGCATGGACAATCATTGTCTTTTTAAAAACAAATGTTATTATTCCTTTTCAATTTCAACCAAAAACTAAAAACCTAAATATTAAACGCAACATTATATGCCTATTTCAAATATCTGGTCTAATGGGTGGACAAATCATACTTTATAGGAAACTACTCCGATTCGAAACAAAAATGTCGGTGATGCTTTATGCTTTAATTGATAACATGTGTGTAACGTTTTGTGGATGTGTTTTAAACTGACAGTCCACATCATTAAGGGAACAAACGGTCCTCTTCCTGCCAATTGCAACTTAACACTTGCTTCGTGGAAGCAAACTCCAGCAGTTCTGATTTAAAGATGATTCCCTCTCGTAGTATGAGTTAATATTTTAGGGTGCCATTGATCGCATCAGTCTCATTTTACTTTAAATGAAGACCACCACAGATACTGTAAGTTATGTGTCATATCTTGACTTACACCTAGACATTGACAGTGAGGGTTGTTCTGAACTAACTTTACGATAAAAGGGATAACTTAATTTTGCCATATGAACATTCCCTTTTTACGCATAATTCAAATAGCTTCATCATATGGATATAAATAAAAGGAGTATACGTCAATGCGATAGCCACCCAACGACACACAAAACCAAAAGTCATAAAAAGTCAACATACGGTTTTAACAAATAGACAAGTGTATTTACAATGTGTTTTGCTGTAAATCGCCTTTAGACTAAAGGAGCTGTGAATAAATTAACAGATACTTTAAAAGATCGTCTATCTGGATTTGGGGTATCGAGATGTCTATAAACTTGTTTATCCTCCTCCTCCTTTCAAACGCACACACACATATATATACTACACAAAAACGATAGTAACACATCTTTTGAATTTGACTACAAAAAAGGATACAATTTAAAAAAGCAAATAAAACAGAATAATGATGAAGAATGCGTTTACTCATTGAATTTTTACTTCACTTTAATTTGTAATTTTTTTGAAATGTTTTTGCTGTTTTATCCACAACAGCGCTGGGGTCACATTGACGTTTTACAACATCTGTGAAAAGTTTAGTTAATACAATCAATATTCTGTGTGTCCTTCCATAGCATTGATATAAGATTGACAACGTTTTCTCATACTGCCAATACATCTACGAATATCTTCCTGTGTAACGTTCTGCCATTTGTAGATTGTGTAGAGTTTGTGTTGGATTTTCGCGGTACGTTGTACAACCTAATTCGTCCCATAAATGTTCTATGGGGTTACGATTTGGCGAATTAGCCCGTCTATTGATATTGTTTGCTGAAATAAGGTCGTTCACAATCCTCCAATGATGATGTCGCTCGTTATCATCTTGAAATATATGTCGCAGACAATTTGTCGTACAAATAGTAACACATGCGGTCACGAAATTTCATCAATATAACGCTGTGAATTCAATGTACCGTTCACAACATAAAGTTAAGTTCTTCTGTTGAAGCTTGAATCTGCCCAAATTATGACATAACATCCGCCATGTTTTTTTAAATTGACATCGGAATAGCGTTATCCATGACGGCGATACACCCAGAAACAACCCTTATTAAACTGAAGATTGAATTTAGACTCGTCTTAAAATCAAACATTACCCCATTGACGTTCTTTCCAGCACAAAAATTGTCGGCACCACTCTCAAAAAACGCAACCTTAGTAGACGTCTTGTTAAGGGAATACATACACCTTGGCGCCTTGATTTCATTTAAATGAAGTAAACGATTACGAATTGTTTTGTCGGAAACATTCACAACTGCAACTTTTCGTAGTTCACACTGAAGACAACAATCACTAATTGTTCTTTGTCGTAAAGTTCTGATGAGTCTGTCTTGACGCTGTGTTGTGGCTCTGCGCATTCCGGTCCGAGCCCTATCACGGACATAATTTGTCGATTTAAAACGATTTAAAAGTCTTGAAATGGTGCCTGGGGCAACTTGAACGTACTTGCAACATGTCGTGCAGACAGACCTGTCTGAAGCATGCCAAGAAGCCGTTGTCGGTCGTCATTGCTAAGTGAGCGTCTCCTACTCATAGCAATAAAAAAAAACCACAAATAGTATGGAAGGTAGACAACATAAAATGTTTAAACACATTGCGCGGCCTAAGTTTAAAACCGTACACGTAAATTTGTAACTGTTGTAAGTGCATTGTTGTGGCCCATACTTTTCTTGGCATTTTTATGGATTTGGCCAGTTGAGGACGTCACCCCATGTCCGATGTTCCAAAATATTGAGGTTTAAAAATTGAATGTTTTCTTGAATGAAACCATTTTTTTTAAATGTTTGTCTCCTTTTTATATGTAGTTTTATAAACTTGTAACATGCTGCTGAAAAGCGGGTGTTGCTAAACTTTTTTTACTTGATGCTTGATATTTTATATTACTGTTGCATCGAATACTCGTGTTTGGTGCTAATTTTAACAACAATATTTAATTAACAAATAATACTTAGTTATACTATACGATCATATTTTGGGTGATGGTAAAATCAGAATATACAAAAGTTATCTTTACCTAGTGGCCGCAAAATATATGAAAGCCATCCTAAATACTGGTAACTGAATCTGAGGAAGATGTCTAGAAAGGCTATACTGAAAGTATCGATGCTAACTTCCTTAATTTTGGTCAAATGTAGTCTCTTGAATCTAGTTAAGTTAAAATGGATTTTCTGAAATGAATACAAAAAAAGTAACACATATACTTCGCTACCAATATTAGCAAGATGTAAAATATAGCTTAATATAGCAGATTATATTATTAAGTAAACGAATGAATCGTAGATGAAAACATCTAAAAATTTAAAAGGGAGAACGTTGTGGTTTGAGTTGTTGTTGTTTGATGGGGGATAACACCAAAGGTTGAAAAATCTAGAAATAAAAAATGAAATGTTATATAAAGCAACGGCAAGGTAAGAGATGTGGATGAACAAAATTATTTTAAACATGAATGAATGGATGGATTTCGAATTGTATATTTGTATATGTATACTATACATACCAGTAAAACCTCCATGTTATGTTGGATTCCGAGTAGTTTCGGTTTGAAAATAACAAAAAATCCGATATTATTCTAAAAATATAAATTATGAAAGCTGTCCTACATAAAATTATATTTTTCCATGACAAGGTTTTAAATATACCACATTGAAGCTCATTGAAATAAATCACTTAGTTTTAACTATGTATGTTTTACAACTAACTGCATTCCTATTGATATAAGATCACATATTGTCTTTAAACTATTCATGGATGTTAAACCTAGATTGTATTACATAAACAGAAATTAAACCGAAAGTATACTATCAACTGTGCACTACTTGAGATGTGCTTAAACAAATTAACGTAAAAAGGCCGTCTATTAAATTCCCGTATGGGTGACCAACAACTTTTTTATACTTAGCATTCTTTAAAACAGCTAAATAGTCAATCATTTACGAAGTTCAAATTTTATAGTATTTATCATTTTTACTATACTTATATTGTTTTGCATTTTCATAAAAAATCGTCTTCCGCATATGTGAGACATTTTACCAATAATAAAAGTACGAAGAAAGGGACAATTTATAATATACGCTCATAAACTATTTCATGAACTCGAGTGCAATGTACAATAGTTAACTGACAATTGTTCTTTTTTTTTTTATTTAATATTTCGCTTAGATATTATTTTTCACACTGCTGAAATATGTTGATTTGCATCTAAATTTTATCTTCACATGGTACACTTTATTTTCCAGTGAATCTTTCCGTCCATTATCAATATGGTCTTATGACTGCATACACGTGAGTTCAAGTAAAAAAATGATAAGGGTGTCCTTTTCTCACTAAACATGAAATCCCAGTACTCATCTTTTTAAAAATAAATTCTCCTGTAATGATCGAAATATATTATTTCTTAAATAACAATTACTAATTTTAAAATCATGCAAGAACTAATGAGAAATTAGCACAATTTTGAATGTTAACGTATACATGTATAAACATAAGTAAAATGTGTTTAACAAAGTCGTTCATAGATAATATTTTAAATATCCCAAATAATATTTTTGCATTAGAAAATATTCTTTAATATATATATATAAACAAAACAACAACAATAGCAATAACAATTACAAACAAAAAACAAAAGACAAAAAACAAAAACAAACAGAAACGCAAATCTGTATTTAGAATCTAAAGGCCGAGTCAACGCAGCTCATTTAAGGACTGTTTGATTAATGCACATGTGCATTAACTAAAAGATCTCAAAAAGAATCACAAACAAAGTTTTCTAGAAACGAGGATAGTGTTACCAAATAAAACGTTAAGCTTCTTTTTGCTGATATGCAATTTGATTTCTTTAATCTTAAAATGATTCGCATAAAAAAAAATATCTGGGATTAAATGATACATCCAAAAAAAATGTTGTTTTTTTTTTGCTGATATGCATTTCGATTTCTTTAATTTGATCATGATTTGCATTAAATGATACCAATTTGTGTACATTAACTGTCTGGTAACTTTTATGAGTTTAAGCAACCGAATGAATGAACGAATGAAGAGCAAGTAAAACTGCTTGGTGTTGCAATTAATTTTGAATCAAAATTTAACTCTCATATTCTTACATCTATAAAGAGAAAAAGCCTCGACAAAGTTAGTTGTTCTAAAAAGATTTTGAAATAATATTAGCAAACTAGGAAAATAAACTGCTCTTCAGTTTCGTACTTTGTTTTGCCTTTTGAACTTTTTTTATTCGAGCGTCACTGCTGAATCATTTTTAGACGAAACGTGTGTCTAGTTTACAAAATTTTAATAGAAAAAAATGGATATGGTGTATCAATTCATGACACAAAATCTGTACATGCAAAGCAAAAAACACGAAAAGCAAAGAAACAGCGCTTATGTTGCTGTTCTTCATTTTAAAGTCACAGTGAGGCCTTCAACATGGAGGAAAAGATCTCATCTCATTGCAAATGTAAGACTAGAAGCAGTTTGAGCGGAATACTTTGCAAATTACGATCACGCCACAAATGTGAATTGAGGAACAAAGCCATGGATTAATATCAATAAAAGAAATCTTGCAAAGAAATCAAACATTCAGTGACGAAATTTTGTCCCTACAATCACACTGAAGATGCAAAAACAATACTAACATTTAGACAACCATGTGGCACATCGTGATGTATGTTATATAACTTGGCAGGAAATAACGTATGTAAAGGGCAAATAATTCGGGAGTAACACCACCAACTCTGGCCCGATCAAAGAAAACAAACCGGAAAGTAGTACACATTTAAAACAAAATAGTTCCTACGAATAAATGTAAATATTAAACTATGTGGAATATATATCGGTAATGTAGGTATCACACGAAAGGCAAACTGTAGATCCTTGTAGAACACCTTTTGACTGACAACTTTTAATAATAAAAAAATATATGAATGAAATCTATAAAGGAGGGCATATATTGTCTGTTTCTCAGATATGATGTACCTGTTTTGGTATATCTAAAGTTCCGGTAACCAGTACGCTGTGGTATGTAAATAATGGTTTATTGACCCCGTCCCCTCTCCATAAGGTTTGAAATAGAAAACATTATCATGGAAAGCAATGGGGCCAAGAATCGGTGGTGTACGTCTTACATAAACAGGCCTAAAAGTGAGATAATGATGTAGCATCCATAAGAGAAGTTATCTAAAGAATAAATATGCCATAACTAAAAAAAAAAAACATAAGAGCATAAACCTGGTATCTATGATGAGTTTATCTATATATCACTCATTTATACTATCGAATTTTAACTTCTAGACTTTTAGTGATTTAGTTCAATGCATGAATATTAGTTTGACTGGTTTAGCTTAATGCATGAATATATACTTTTAGTACTTATATCTGTTACCATATGAATGAAAGGATTTGTGTTTGACATTTACCTATGGACATATGAATGTTTTACAATTTATGAGTTTACTGTAGCGTTATGTCGGTTTGAAAGCTCTAATGAGCTTATGTTGTACCGACTTAAACTGAAGCTTTTGACTTTATTTTTTAACTTTCAATCCTATTCAAACATGTAAATAAATTGGCCTTTTCTCTGTCAAAACAAGATATACAAAAAAAGTCAACATAGCCGAAGGTCAATTATAAAGTGTTATTTTCATTATTGACAGTTGACTCTTTTATAGTAGTAATTGATATTTAATTAAGATTTAGACCTTGTTTTTTTGTATTCTTGAAAAAAGTATAGCAGATAAAGAAAACTGTAAACGGCAAAAATAATCAGGAATACAAGATCAACAAAAAAGATAATTTAGTTATGAATGAATCCATTCTAGTCTATAATATTGGAAAATGGTCATTGTTGAAAATACGTTTAGATCAAGGTGGAAACACAGGCTCTTTAGAGCCTCTACTTTTATATCAGCCACTGATGAGTCTTGTGTAGACGAAACTTAATCATAAGCCTGTAAGTTTGATGTATGTTTTCATGAACAATTAAATAAGAATAATTTTCATATACAAACTAATTACTAATCATACTAATGAATATTGTTTTATAAAGTTTATATTTGCACACTAACATTGTCACGTTATGAAGGAAGTTAAAAATCAATGAATTTCCCTACTCTAACTACTAACAGTCTCCAAATAAAAGTGTAAGGATAGATTTTGTCATACTTATTCCCTTTTGTACGTCAGTTATAAGAGATATTATCCGAGTATTATTGTGATCAGTACTTTTTCTCAACTATTTTTTATTGTACGTTTTTCTGTTCGCTTTATGTATTCGTATGATTGAGGTTAAATGACCATTACATCGGTCTCATTACAATTAAGTCAATTTCTAAACTGATCATCATTGTATATTCTACTATATAAAATTAGAGGCAACAGTAGTTTACCGATGTTCAAAACTCATAAATCCTTTAAGAAAATACACATCAAGATAAAAAAACAACAACTGAGGGAATCGTTTGAATTCAAAAAGGGACAAGTCCGTGTGTAACGACAGGGGAAGCACCTCCTGCTATGAGGAAACCCGCCAAGTATATTCATTCTCATTAAAAATTACACACTCGGGAATAGGACACCATCGGTAAAATAACCTATTAGATGACTTTACTGCTATCTTCAGATATAATACCATGAGAACATGTCGATAGTGAGTTGAGACACAGACACCTCGTATTGATCAACCTTTTCGTGATGAACTGTCGATTTCAGTCGTTTATCCTAATATCTCTGTTGGAGCAGTTTTGGTCAGTAACACACCACTGTTAACGAAGTCCGTATATTGTGAACATACACAACGTAACGTATTATCTGATATATTCATACGCCATACGATGGGAGAGAATGTAATTTTTCCTGAGAAATGAGAAGTTGACAATTGGAAAGTTGAAATCATAACATTTGTCACATATTTCAGTTTGAAGTCATCCATCTGTGTCAATATCGAGAAATCTAAGGACCAATATGTGAAACAGACCTTCGGTTTCAGTTGTACAATAGATATCAAATTTAATCGGATATATGGGATACAAGCACTGACTGAGCTGTGGGTCATGGAGTGACAGGATATTATCAATATATATGAAAGAGAAATTGAAGAACTTTGCAATATGCTTTTCTTTTCATCTTTGAGAAGGTTTTGTATGATATACGAGTACAAAAACAAGTCGTCCAATGGGGAGCACAATTAGTACCCATTGGAATAAGGAGACAGGGTTTGATTGCCAACGAAAAACATCGACGAGACCAAATGACGTGGATGTAAGCAATTATAGGTAACCGGACTGCCTTCATCAATAAATACTGTTTGGCATTACCAATAAGGGCTGACATGTATACAACCACTAAAGTTCAGATATCCAATCGTAGTACTAATTTATCGTTCTGAACAAATCTTAACTTAAGTAATTTTATGCATATCAGCCCGGACTTTTAGTGGATGGTGTTGTATATTGAATCGTTATATCACAGGGGTCAGAAAAAAATTTTGAACTGATGTAATGGTACTTTTGCTACGTACTAGTACCTTTTGGCATTCCATTGATCGAGATTAAGAGGGTATTGATTGATTGTTGTTTGCTTAATGTCCAGTAGCAATTGTTCATTCATGTTCATGAACAAATTAACAATAAATACAATATACAATAGGTATG